GACATTTTGGGTGACCACACGTCGCGACGGCATGCAGAGCGACACATCGTTACGACAACATGATGTGACGCTACAAACCCAGTTGCGACAACAAGACGCCACTGTATGTGTTTTAAAAATATCTGCTGGTTTGAATTTGTGTCACTGCGCGACCCCAACTGTCGTGTGTCATTTAACATCTTTTTTAAGACAATCTGTCGCCTTAATGATGGGGTGATACTGAGAATCACGGACTTAAGTCCAATACGGCGAAATATGTGACCTATCACCTAATGGGTGAAAAATCAGTGTTTGGCTTTTCATTATATTTTAAAACTGCAGCATTTACGGCACACACAAAAATCAATACACGAGCTTCAATTCATATTTATTACAGAGATACAGTACGTAAAACATTTGGACTCACTTTCCGACTTTTCTATGCTGAACGGTTTTTAAATAATGTTTTGTATTACGAACTGACGAGAGTACAAAATAAGATATTTTTGTACAGTCCGCACACATGGCGATTTTCACTGAAGTAAATTGATTTCAAACGTCTTTAAGACGTCACAGCACAATTGTATCCTTGCACCCATAAAATTCTCATTTCTCCTGGTGGGTCACATATACTATAGAAAAGGTGAGTCAGAATTATTTTCCTTGCGCTAAACTTTTTGCGTAGCGCTCTATTACGTCACCCATGGAATGTGGCTGCACGTTAGAAATTGTGGGAAGTACTTAATTGCTCACGTTTTGATCCATTTGCTTAACAAGTGCAAACTAACATAGATAATGAATGATGTTTCCTTATGGAATAACGATTTATAAACATATTGTTGAAATATTTATCACAAAAAGTTTAATAAGTTAAATACTATAATTAATTCTACTTTTATGCAAACCTGATAAGTTTATGAGGGGTTTCCCTGTATGCCTCTGTAGGAAAGTGTATAAAATATGGCGCGGTTGTTAACAAGTGAGCCATGCACAATCAAATTCGCGTTGACCCCCTTCTTTCACAAAGATATCACAAAAAGATATCTCAGAAAAAGTTGAATACTCAGTCTTTTGGCAGATAAGCAGATATTTATTAATACACACATTGTCGTAGCCCCGCCCTGTTTTCGTGTCTTACTGCTCTGGTGCAGTACTGTCGTATTGCTGGGTATCGTAGTATCGTTTTCCGGCAGAGATGCGCAGAATGGCACTGCGTTTGTGTGCTTCATGTGGTGCATCTCCGAAACGAGACAATATTTTGTAGTAATCTAATTGGCCACAAAAGAGGCGCTTGAGCAACCATAGTATTATTCTAGTGTTGGTTTACTGCACGCATCGCACAGCCAGTTCATATTCTTTCAGGAAAATATTAGATATATAAAGTACTTAATGAAGCATAAAGTTGCACAGATGTTTTTTAGCTCAATTTGTTAGTTGTTTACAAGGAAAACAGTGAAATATTCATCACGACAAGAGATGCCACGTATGTCAGAAAATTACAGGTGAGCATTTGGTGAGAGAGTGATTTGACATAAATAATCATATTGGAAATTTTCAGCCAGTAAAATTTGAATAAGAATACATTATTATAAAAAAGGGCCATAGATCACCAGCAACCAAAGTTAGGCCCCCATACTAGGGACCACGGGAACACAATGCCTCTGCTTCCTGCATGGTACCCAAGAGAGCAGTTGGAATGCGGGAACATCACAACGGAAAGTGACATTTCAGTCCAGTCTGACGGGTGGGGCAGGATAAGCTCAGCTTTCGCGGACACCTGGAATCATCACTATATGATATATGAAGTAATGCTTATGATATCGTCGAAATCGTTCAATGGAGATAATAGAAATTGTTTTTTGCCGCTTCTATTTATGGAAAGTAGTGTTACAGATTTTGTAGTCTTGCGTTTGCTGCAGCATTTGCCATTGTGTTACCTACCATACCACCATGACTGGGCAACCAGAGAAAGACGATGTCGTTATGCACAGTTGTAAGATCATTGTCTGAAATACATGCAATTGAAGTTTCAGTGCCTAAAGCCAAGGAAGAAAATCCAAAAAGATGACAAATTCTTTACAAGCTTAAAAATAGCCTTGGTCTCAGCAGTGAAACTATAGCTATCGCCTGGTATTCTAGATGTCACGACAGTTTCACTCCCTACTTGGCCGTCCATACGACCGATAAGCAAACGTTGCACGCTGAGTATCGTATTTACTTAATTGTACATATTTCTGTAGATCCACTTATTGATTTGTATCATACTTTTCCAAACCTGTTAGGGAAGGTCTACTTCAGGCATCATGAACTGCCAGTGAGGCGTAGACAACAGCCTGTGTTGAGTGATAATATTCGGATTTGCAACCATAATATGTGATTTAATCCTAATCTTAAGTGGAGAAACCAGCTTCGGTTTCTTCTGAAACAGTTCTTCATAGAATGGTTTAAAGGATTAGAAAGCAATTTGGTAATTATATAATGTATTACAGTGCGTGAGTGAATATCCAGTTGTTTTAAATACATATCATTAGCCACCACATACAGGTTATCCGAAAGGCGCCAAGACATAATCTTAGTCCCTGGTAGTAAATAGAGTCTCGTTTTATTTATAAAATACTCTTGCAGGCCCCATCATAAACAATTGAGCCAATTTAGAGCAGATTGGTGATCTATAAAAGTGAAGGAGGGTTGTCTGATCCCCTCCTCATTTAGAATTTGAAACGGCCTCCGCAAGTCTAGAGACTTCGTACATTTTATCTTCAGAAAGTTTCCTTATATGGCCACAAAGTGATGTGATGATTTAAGATTAGTCCTTCTTTACAACCTTGAGTCGAGTGTCATCTAGAACAAGTTCGCGGAAATATTTATGACATACTCGTGTGCTTAAATTATTGCCTCACACGATGCATAAATTACAGTTGGCATAACACAAGGTCACAGCTGTCGAGTCATAACATACGATTAGGTTGTAAGGTGTTGTAAGACACCATGCTCGGTGTACTGACTGTGCGACAGGGAAAGGATCGGTTAAGATTATTTACACCCCATGCAAGCAGGCAGTGCAGAGTGTATCTTTACGATAGTGAACATAGTTCCATAAGTCAGAGGCTATAATGGATTTATTACGGTGTGCCTACTTTGAAAGAATAGTGACGTGTGCAAATGTAGTTGAGTTAGCCTTCCCCACAAGAGATTAACGCAATGGACACTAACTACCCTGGTTCTTGAAGAAACAGTGCAATTCCTGCACCTCATACAAGCACAGTTCAGATCGTGCACCTTCAGAAATGATTATATGTTGACAAAGTCATCACCATTTTAAAAGCTGAATTAAAGAATTAAAGAGTATGTTGGTGCAATATTTCTTTATCATAAAATTATGAATAAATACGTTTCAGAAAGGTATTCTAATGAAAATAGTATCTTGCACCTTGAAGTAATAACAATTTGGAGAACGGAGTGTATATGTAGAATAAAGTTTGTTAATGACAGGTGAATAATAGGTACACAAGTATCATGGAATATACATATGGTGGCAAATATATAGTTACCAAACAGTTACGGAAATTACGTCTACGCTCTCAAATGACATCAGTTAAAGTGTGTGGGATGAACAAATACGGAAATAAAGGCTGATCGGTCGATCTTACTCTGGAAATGTATTACGGCGGCAGGGAAGCCATGTGGTTAAAGCGTTGGCTCGTCAAGCCGGGTTCGAATCCGAAAATGGTTATAATGCACGAAGCCCATTTCTGGTGTGCTCTATCGTGATATGGCTGGAAAAATCATGCAAAACGCAACGTGAAAATCACTCACTTCCTCACTCGCATTCGTTGCTGAAAAGTGCGTTTTAGTTTCAAAATGTATGTTTCAGTCTGTGGCTGGTGTTTGTGGCTGTCGATGTGTTTTTTAACAAATGCTGATAGATAGAATTGCTTAAATGATTTACATTGATAAACGTCAGTTATATATATGTTACGATGAAGTAGTTTCCCTTTGATATGTGTGTATTGGTAAACCATAAAAACATATTATGCCCAGCAGTAACCAGTCGTAAGTTTAAGATACAAGACGATAGTGAAAAAGCCATTTTTTGTATGTTTACATGTGATAACGTTACAAAGAGGGACAAACAGATATGCTTCGGACATTAGGGAAACTGTTTTGTGGTGTTGTCTTGACAAGGAATGAGCTTATTCATGTACCATAATCATCGAACGAATTATTGAATAAATGTGTACAATATTTACAACCCCTGAAAACTGTAGAATCGTTGTCTGACAATCACGTCAACACCATGTGCATGACCACACGACAGTCATCGGTAGAACATGTGTTGTGTTCCCCGTCAGAGATCGAGCTTACATTTGATAAAATTGAATCAGGGAATCAATGTATGCCATCTTGAGGCAACCGCATTTACTATTGAAGATCAACATAGAATTGCTTTTAGTTAATTATTAATATGAGACATATGTTGTTTATCAAAGCATATCGATAAACACACTTGCACTTGTAGTAAAAATCCTCATATTGTGAAGCCTGAATATATAACTTCAAAACATTCTTACTTTGCATGCCATGCCGTCATCCTCGAAATCAAGGTGTATATTTTGTGTTGCACGTTTTATGCCGTCGACCGCTACAGATGCATGAACAAACCATTATGCCAAGATGCAGGAAGTATTCAAAGTATATTACAAGCTTTAAATGAATAACACTATTTAAAAACCCGGTTATTCGGGCGGTGTAGCAGTATAGCATGACTGAATTACCCTGAATGACGAATTCACGGCACCTGTAAATAATCGAGGTGGGATAAAGGAAACCATTTTATCGTCATCAAAAGCAACGATCTTTAGACCAAATTCCATTGCCGTGTCATGAAGTAACAAATATAACATCAGTGCCGGTGGTCAGTCTTTCATATTTCAGTATCTATATTTTCTGAAAACATACGCATTCTTCTTCTCGTGCATACGACAAGGTAAATGTATCAATGAATTTAACTATGTGCTAGTTTATTGGACTTTCGACACAACCTGACAGCCGACCTGTATGACTTTTGGAGCTTGCGGCACAACCTGACAGCCGACCTGTATGACTGTTGGAGCTTGCGACACAAGGTGACAGCCGACTTGTATGACTGTTGGAGCTTGCGGCACAACCTGACAGCCGACCTGTATGACTGTTGGAGCTTGCGACACAACCTTACAGCCGACCTGTATGACTGTTGTAGCTTGCGACACAACCTGACAGCCGACCTGTATGACTGTTGGAGCTTGCGACACAACCTGACAGCCGACCTGTATGACTGTTGGAGTTTGCGTCACAACCTGACAGCCTACCTGTATGACTGTTGGAGCTTGCGGCACAACCTGACAGCCGACCTGTATGACTGTTGGAGCTTGCGACACAACCTGACAGCCGACCTGTATGACTGTTGTAGATTGCGACACAACTTGACAGCCGACCTGTATGACTGTTGGAGCTTGCGGCACAACCTGACAGCCGACCTGTATGACTGTTGGAGCTTGCGACACAAACTGACAGCCGACCTGTATGGCTGTTGGAGCTTGCGTCACAACCTGACAGCCGACCTGTATGACTGTTGGAGCTTGTGGCACAACCTGACAGCCGACCTGTATGACTGTTGGAGCTTGCGACACAAACTGACAGCCGACCTGTATGACTGTTGGAGCTTGCGTCACAACCTGACAGCCTACCTGTATGACTGTTGGAGCTTGCGGCACAACCTGACAGCCGACCTGTATGACTGTTGGAGCTTGCGACACAAACTGACAGCCGACCTGTATGACTGTTGGAGCTTGCGGCACAACCTGACAGCCGACCTGTATGACTGTTGGAGCTTGCGACACAACCTGACAGCCGACCTGTATGACTATTGGAGCTTGCGACACAACCTGAAAGCCGACCTGTATGACTGTTGGAGCTTGCGACACAACCTGAGTCGACCTGTATGACTGTTGGAGATTGCGGCACAACCTGACAGCCGACCTGTATGACTGTTGGAGCTTGCGACAAACCTGACAGCCGACCTGTATGACTGTTGGAGCTTGCGGCACAACCTGACAGCCGACCTGTATGACTGTTGGAGCTTGCGGCACAACCTGACAGCCGACCTGTATGACTGTTGGAGCTTGCGGCACAACCTGACAGCCGACCTGTATGACTATTGGAGCTTGCGACACAACCTGAAAGCCGACCTGTATGACTGTTGGAGCTTGCGACACAACCTGAGTCGACCTGTATGACTGTTGGAGATTGCGGCACAACCTGACAGCCGACCTGTATGACTGTTGGAGCTTGCGACAAACCTGACAGCCGACCTGTATGACTGTTGGAGCTTGCGGCACAACCTGACAGCCGACCTGTATGACTGTTGGAGCTTGCGGCACAACCTGACAGCCGACCTGTATGACTGTTGGAGCTTGCGGCACAACCTGACAGCCGACCTGTATGACTGTTGGAGCTTGCGACAAACCTGACAGCCGACCTGTATGACTGTTGGAGCTTGCGGCACAACCTGACAGCCGACCTGTATGACTGTTGGAGCTTGCGGCACAACCTGACAGCCGACCTGTATGACTGTTGGAGCTTGCGGCACAACCTGACAGCCGACCTGTATGACTGTTGGAGCATGCGACACAAGGTTAAAGTCGATAACCACCAGTAAAAACAACATCTTTCTTTTGTTCTCTAGGATCTTTATATTCCACCAGCCTTTGATGTCTTCGTTTGACAACGTTTGAGATACAATGGCATACTATTTCTACGAAGATTTCAAAGTGTTGTCAGCGTTACCACATTCAAGGCATCATCAGTGAAGATTTCGGCCATTTCCAAATTTGATGCATCAGTGACAAAAATGATGGAATTCCCCCTTTTGACTAGTACCATGTATTCTCTTCTTTTTAACTTACCCTTGAATGTGTTTGTGACGGGTGCCACAGGTGGGGCAAGCTACCCCCGCCTTTTGGAGAAAACACCAGGTGTCATCACTCTTTGAAAGTGACTCATAAAGACATGATCATGATGTGGTCAGATTCGTACAATGGACACTGCGCTTTGCAGATATTTCTTATGATTATGGAATTTGTTTCGTTACTGTTATTTACATATAGGTTGATTTTACGACTCATTGTAACCTGAGTGGGTTTGTGAAACGGCCTTAAATGTTCTGGTTTACTGATTGATGTTAGAGCTAGACAGAGTAGAGTAAGAATCAACTACATAAGAGGTGGTGATCAGGCGCTGTGACCCAATGGTGTGGTTCGTTTATTATTTACAGTATGTCTTTGTATAGCTGGAATGTTGGTGACAGTGGCGTTTAACAATAATCACTCACTCAATTTCCGTCCCCCATGTCTTTCGACAGTCCATTCTATAATGTACAAAGGTCCTGTGAACGTTCCTTCTTCACTGGATTAATCTCCACAAAGTGAAGGTTTTTCAAATAGTTGGTAGGTAGTTGTACTTACATATGCAATGCTTGAAACAAGTGTAGTGACCACGAGCCGGTAGCCCACTTCAACCTGAGAAGAGCCCGTCCTATACCCAGTGTTGTGGATGGCGAAATACGACAACTCACATTCTGCAGAGATCGAGCGTGATAGCCATCTATCGTAATAACATTCACTATGACTTTAGGAACCAAAACGATCAAGTCTGCTATTTTCTAACTGCTTTTGGAATCCTTTAAAATACACATGTAGCTTGGCTTTCAGCAGATAGGTGTATGTAGGATCCGTTTTTATATATCTGTTTGCTTCATATCGTATTGCTGGACATGCATTTAACATTTCGCATATACTTTTACTGCTCTAGATTATGAATACAAGCACAGCAGGATTTGATCATTTGTGTTGTTATGTACAAGCATTACTGACGTATCTACGGGAAGATGTTGTTATATCCAAATCAAATCAAATGTCACATTTTTGCGTAGGTCGTTTTTCCGTTGGGTGGAACTATCTTTGTTGCTTAACGCTGCACTCTGCAATATTCCTGTAATCGAGTCTGGACCAGTCAATCAAGCATCGATTTACGCAATTGGGATATGATGACAAGTCAGCGTGGGTTGCTGGAGACCAGTTCTAACCCGGATCTTCACAAGAAGTTGTGTGGAAGTGGTGGAAACATAATCATGATATATTTATGACATGTATTATTCATTTAAAGCGTTTCATGACATCTGTACAAGCCAGATGACCCTAGATGTTGCTCCTCTGGGAACGAGTGGTGAAAGTTGCATATTTTTTTAACATATACACTGGTGCGGATTTTCTTTCTTGTAACAAATGCTCTGGCATGGATACTTCGAGTAAATCCCCTGCATGTATAAAAGACAATGTATATGTGTTACAGAGTTCTAATAACATGTGTGCCATGCACTCTTATCCAACAAATGTTTCGAATGACTGATGGAAACAATAATATGTCTCTTCAGGCCTCAATATACTCAGTACATAAGTATGTATGTGTCACAGCGCCTATGAAACTGAGTTGAGCTGCCTGAAAACCCCGAAATCTTCCGGCTGTGCTACTGGAACTGAAAGAGCAGCACAACCTGTAAGATATTTCCCAGGTACGCATCTTCCGCTTAGTTTACAATGAGTCGTAAAATCACCCTCTATGTAACTATCAGATAGCAGTGCGATTTATCACAAAGAACAATGGAGAACGAATCGTGGCCTACGTGGTTTATTTCACGATAAGACATTCTTCCATCATGCCGTCATTTCTGGAGTTTCGCAACTTGAGGACGTCATATACTGAGCGATGTTATTTTTGAGAAGGAAGTCAAGTCAATTGCTTCCTACAGATGCAGCTGGGCTACGCAGGTAACTCGATGGCCGAACGTTCGCATCCAAAAGTGGGAGAGATATGACAATCGATATTAGGCGAAAAGGTACAGATAATCGACGTGATTATTGTGATATCGCATCATAATATAATAAAAAAAGTTGTCATCCATGAAAAATATCTTGCCTTTACTTTTACTTACCAAATTCTAAAAATGCCAATCAAAGAGTGGGTACTCCTGTCCTTCGTAAGTTCCATTGTTATGCATATGCCGATCCAGGGGGAGGTTGCAGGGTACGCAAACTCTGATGGATGCCAAGCATGCACACATTCAGAATAGAAGCTTCATAGGGGTTAAAAAGAATGACAACACAATGATTAACTCATTTGGCAATAAATTTTCAACACGGTCACATGGTAACTGTACGCGAGTACCCAAATCACACTTGACTTTTTCCACGACGACTGATAATAGCAAATAGTGGCTTCTGTGCCGACAAAAAAGATAATAATGTCGCCGTGTAGTGCTTGACGCGTCCATAAAATATGTTTTTGTAATTCTGGACTCAACTGCGTCTGCTTTGGCGATGAGGTGAGGTTTAACGTCGCGTCCAAGATTATTGCACTTATATAGCGACGTGCATGTACGTGTGTGTGTTTGTGTGGCTGCTTGTACTAGTCCGGACTGATGCCGTATTATAGTGCTAGCTCACTGAGATACCATGCCGCAGTTTAACATGAACACCCCACTCAGACACAGTATACTGACTCCGAGCCGACCAGTCCTTGTTTTAGCCCCTTAATGCCGAGCGCCAGACAGGGTAACAACAAGTACAATCTTTTAACGTCTTTTGGTATGACGCGACCGGGGACCGAACCCTGGACCTTCCGCTCTCCGGGCGGACGCTCTACCACTAGACCACGGAGGCGGTCCTGCTTTGGCAAATGGAGAAGTAACTCTAATCTTGTAATTTTGAGTCATTCTTATTTTCATTGAAATAAAGTTACTCATGACACGTTCCTCAAATATTCTTCGGAAAAATTATCAACTGTTTTAAAATTGAATGATATGACGCTTCAAATATGGAAATGAGTATTGTAGCTCATTGTATTGTTACGTCCATGTATACTGTGTTATCTTCTGACAGGGATATGTTTTTGGTGTAAACATAATGCGATGGATCATTGTTCTATCATGACGTCATGACTGGAGATTCGAACATGCACTCGTAAACTTGATGACGTCGTAAATTGGTCGACGTTAGTTTGGAGAAGGAAGCGGCTTGTGCGTTGTTCCCTATAAATGTAGCTGGGCAACGCAGATGAATGGCCGAACGATCGCACCCAAAAGTCGGAGATAAATGACAATCGGTTTTGTGAGAAAAGGTGCAGATAATCGATATGAAAATTGTGAGAATACATGTACCAAACTTGGCACCCCTGTACATAAAATGGACTTGTCCGACAGTGCCGTCGGATTGTATTCTGTGAGTCATCATTATTTAAGTACGGGTAAATGTTTCTTAAGCTTGTACAAAATGTTGATATCTCATATTGAAATGTTGATAACTGCGCCCATCATGGTTAATTCTCCCTGCAGTGTTTTATTGTACGATAAACAACGACCACGAGTCGTTTTTTTCTTGAGTCAATGTACACGCATACTAAATGACTGGTGACAAATTCTTATGCAATACATGAATACGAAAAAACAATGAATGGTAGCCTGTTATCTTGTGTCGCAAGCTCCGACAGTCACGCAGTTTGGCCGTCACTCTGTGACGGCGTTTTCCCCAATAAACTACCACATAGTGAAATTCTTTGATCCCCTTTACCTTAACGTAGGCATAAGAGGAAGAACATTGATGGTTTCAGAAAATTAAGATACTAAAATGTGAAAGATTGAAAAGTCATATGTTTTGGCACTGATGTTTTATAACGTGTAAGCAGTAATGCTTGTCAAAGTTCCATATTGCTTATGATGGTATGAATGTAACCCATTACAGCAAGCAGTGATACAAGTAAATGTTCTCATGATAATTGATGATAGTAGTTTTCAACATGTATAGAAGTTGTGTACGCATGGGTGTTGCACATTGACTATGACTGTAAAAGCGATAAAACCTTTTCCATATTCATAAGAAATCTCTGCCAAATGTGTGACATAACATCATTCTATAATACATGTTATTTCATGCAATTTCTTTTAGCAAGTGGAAGTGAAAACACGACCTTTGCTGTATTATCTGATTGTTCGGTTATAGCCATCTGGTTCCGCTCGTGAGACAGCCCCTCGGTTTATAGATGTGGCTTGGAACGTTAGTACGTTTGGAAGTTATATATCTTCGTTTAAAAAAATGAGGATTTTTACAACATATGTAATTCTGTTGACGGTATGATTTGCTAAACTATATATGTCGTAAAATAATATTTACTGAAAATAATTCTATGTTGATTTTCAATACAAAATGTGGTTGCCTCAAGAAATCACACACACATACACACACCTGATTCAAATTAATCAAAGACGTGAAATGTAAGATCGCTCTCACCTGTTTCTATAGATGACCGTTGTTTGGTCATGCACGTGGCATTGGCGTGATTACTATTCAGTCTTACTATTATATTTCTCATTCAGTTGCTTATAAACAATCTCTATTCTACATATAAACTCCGTTCTCTAAGCTGTATGTACTTCAAAGTGCAATATAATATTTTTAATAGAATGTCTTTCTGAATATTTATTCATAATTTTATGATGAAGAAGTGCACCTACAAACATGTACTCATTTTTAAAGAATTGCTCGAAACAGAAGCTGACTTTGTCAACACAAAATACTTTTTCAAATCCGATGTATTACTTCAAGGCGCAAGATCAGC